TGTACTTAGTAAATTGTAACCTAACTGGATGTGTAAACTAACTGTACTCCACTCTTGTGCCAATCACTGAGTTTTGGCAAATCAGAGGTGGCCAACTGTCCAAACCAGGTTCAAATAATGCAAACACTGAGCTCTAGCCAATCTGGCTGTTTCTGTAACTCACTTCCATTTTGTGTATGTGACTTTCCTTTTTCTGTCTATAAATCTTCTATCATGTGTGCTGCTGGAGCCTCTGAACCTTTTCTGGTTTGGGGGCTGCCTGATTCATGAATCATTCTTTGCTCAGTTAAACTCTGTTAAATTAAATTTGTCTAGGGTTTTTTATTTTAACAATAAACCAGTAAAATTAAATAAATATTTCCCTGATGTTTGTGAGCAGTTATAGCAAATTACTCAACATGAGAAAGGGTTATAGGAATCCCTGATTTATAGCCAATTGGTCAGAAGTACAGGTGACAACCTGGGGCTTGTAATTGATTTCTCAAGTGGAGGACAGTCTTGTGGGACTGAGCCCTTAATCTGTGAAGTCTGCACCAACTCCAGGTAATTAGTGTCAGAGTTGAGTTAAACTGTAGGACATTGAGGAAATTGGAGAATTGCTTGGTATGGAAAGCCCACACATTTGGGGTCTGAAGTGTTGTGAGTATAGAAAAACAGTTTTTCCTTTACTGGTGCTTTGAGTGTCTTTGCTACTTTTTGCAACTCAGAGCTGGCTGCAGGGAGCCAGAGTAGCTTTGTTTGGAGCTTCAGCTGCATAGAGAAGATTCTGGAAAAAAACCCAAAAATCAGCCCTTACCATTCTCTTTCTAAAACATGAATATCCAACAGACAACTTTTATATCCAGCCAAATTTCCATCAGACACTTAAAACTCAACATATCAAAATCTGAATCTATCATCTTCTCTCTTTCTTTTCTGTTCTACCGTGTTTCCTATCTGGGCAAATGTCATTATCATGCTCCTGGCTGCCTTGGCCAGAAACGTGGGAATCATTCTTCCTGAATATTTCCTAGCTTCTTAATCTCACTGTAATTCAGTTTCTATTGATTCTACATTCTACGTGTCTCTGGTACCCATTTCCACTTTTTTTTTTTAAATAAAATGACGTGAAAATTCTCTCATATCTATTTTTCCTTATTAGTTATATGAAATGATATTTTTAAGGAGGGCTGGGATTTAAAAAAAATTAATTTTGTAAATCTCAAAATTAAACAGAGAGAAAATGTATACCTTAACGATAAAAGTTTAATTGTTCATAAAATATAAGAAATATTGGAAGCGTGTCATTTGCTCCTCAAAAAGATTTTTTTTTGTTATTATACTATAAGTTGTAGGATATATGTGCAGAATGTGCAGATTTGTTACACAGATAAACATGTGCCATGGTGGTTTACTGCACCCATCAATCCGTCATCTACATTAGTGAGTTTTCATTGTTCAACTCCCACCTATGAGTGAAAACATGCAGTGTTTGGTTTTCTGTTCTTGTGTTTGTTTCTTGAGAATGTTGGTTTCCAGCTTTATCCATGTTCCTTCAAAGGACATGAGCTCATCCTTTTTTTTTTTTTTT